ATGACTTTTCCGTTTTAACAAAGATGGCATCTTTCACACCTCTTTCAAACCAGCTGTCCTCTCTGTCCAAATTCGGAACATTTTGGTATTCAAATGTGTTTTTTGTTCCTTAGGTCCAAGTGTACGGCTGATTCTTGCACATAGTTACTGGCTCTCCTATGCTGCCTATTGGGTTTCTGTTGTTATCGTTTGGTTTCTCCAGTATAGGAGGCTGTACAGTTCTCATTGCACTGGATCACAGAAACGACACCACTCAGCTTTGGTTTGGGTGAAAATCCAAACCATTGGAGGTTTCAGCTTTCAAGCAATTACAATTCAGTCGTAGAACTCATTCCAAAGAAATTTTTATTCTCTCTCATCATGATTCAAAAGGTCAATTACATAGCCCATACTCAACAAACGACTTCAACAATTCAGAGGAACAAGGGGTGGCTATTTGATTTGCATCTGGGTTGGAACGTGCTTAGGAGGATGAACTTTCAACTACAGATTGCAGGGGTGTGAGTATGTCTGTGTCGAAACATCTTCAAAAACATTTTACGTAAGTCTAGTTGCCTTCCAGTCGAAGCCTGTTTAGAAGAGATGTTTTTTTTCATAATATCATAATTAATCTAATTGATTCTAAACTTAAGTTAGTCTGGCCTTTAAAATTACATTCTTCTCACTTCATTTCAAGTTGATATGTTGTGTATGCAGAGCAAGTACTGGCTGGCCAGGCCAGCTCTTCTGGTGCCCCTGCATGCTTGGCGTTTCCTGTCATCTAGTACTGACCGAAGTATAAAATACTGGACTGTTAAAGTTTATCTTTGTTACTTATTGTTTAGAATGGTTTAGTCGCAGTTCAGATACAGATAGATTTTATCATTTTTGAAAATAAGAATGGATAGAAATTAAGCCTCTAGATGTTCAAGGCTGTTTGAGACAAACCCTCAGAAGGGATACAGACTCATTTCCAAGGAACTGTTCTTGTAAAAAACCACTGACTCATTAAAAAAAAATGTTAATAAAAAAAAAAAGAAACCATGTAAAACTGTACTTGAGGTAACTTGGCACCACATTTTATGTACATTGAGTATTGTATTTATTTCTTTTTTTGATCAGCCTGAAGCTGCACCCATCAGGGAGCTGATTGTTAACGAATATGTTGGATCTGGTGAAGACCGCATCAGAAACAGAGATGGATTCACTGAGATTCTTGGGGACTTCTTTTTTACTTTTCCAGCTCTTAAAGTGGTAAATGCTCACAGAGGTAATTTTTCCATGCATGATTATCCAAATAAGTTCAGTGTTGCCTATTTATTTCTCCCAAGAAAATATTATTATTTTTTGTACCATTAGATGCAGGGGCTGCTGTGTACTTGTATGAGTATCATCACGCTCCCACGTTCCTTCAGAAAAAAAGACCCAGCTTTGTCAAATGTGACCATGCAGATGACATCTTCACTGTGCTGGGATACTGCTTCACAACTACCCATGTAAAATTAGCTGGTATGTAAATATTACTTACCCTAGATATCCAGTGTGTTTATGTATTTTTACCTACAATCTTTGCTGTTAACTTATTTATTTAGATCCATGTCCCAAAGAGGAGGAAGAGTTTAGCAAAATTATGATGAGCTATTGGGGTAACTTTGCTCGCACAGGGTAAGAGTCTGATTATTCAGTGTACAGAATACTCACATAATACAAAGTTTAAAACAATGTTTTCTCTAGGTCTCCTAATGGAGAGGGTGTTGTCAACTGGCCCAAGTATGGAGCAGAGGAAAAATATTTGTCTCTTGACCTGAAGAAGCAGGTGTCTGCTCAGTTCCTCAAGAAGAATCGTTTCGACTTCGTGACCCAAACTCTGCCACAGAAGATCAAGAAGCTTGAGGAGAACACAGAGCACAGCGAGCTGTAGTATGGCTTTGGGGCAGAGACGTTTAAATGTTAATTTAAAAAAATCTAATCTGATACAGGCCTCCCAGTCTGTCTAAAACCGTGAATCGGTTTGTGGCATGGATTTAGTCATACACTGTATGTGAATTAATTGGACTATTATTGGAAATTGAAATATGTATTCAAGTTTAATGAAATAAAGTGAAGATAGATTAGCAACTATGATATTAAATTTTTTATATGAATCTAAAAAGTGCTCTTATGTTGAACACCAAGTCTCTTTGGTAAAAAAAAAAAAAAACTTCCCGTCCTTCCTTGAGTTCAGATTATTTGTACAATTATTTGGAAATGATATACAACGTCTGTAATAAAAGCAATTTTTTTTCAAGTATGAACAATAGAAATGTTACGTATGAAATAATAAAGAATGAATTTTGATGCCATATAGGCAACGTTTAGTTAAACAGATCCTAGGTAAACTGCTGGATAAAGCTTTTCTCACCACCTTTCATTGATTTCATTTTGAATATCAGTTTGTTAAAGATTAAATATAAAAAATGAGGTCTTCAATCATCAAAGTGCCCATACAAATAGTTTTGTTGAAATGAAGTACTCCAGAAGTTACGTATATTGACTTTTTATGATCCAATCAGTATCAATGGGAACGCTAATTTTTATCCTGCTTGTTCGATATTTCCATAAACCAATAATTTAGTCTCTTTTATTATTCTTACAACTCTCTTTTTATGTACCTGGTAGTTTTTTATGCATTTCCTCCTAAAAGATCCCACTTTAGAAATGCCTATTGCCAATTTGGTGTCCCAGAAGTCTTCAGGCCCAGAAGGCTGCACGCTGCAAAAGCATGCACAGTGCTCTCTAAGGGTGATGGATTAAACACAAAAGACAATCTGCTGTGGAATGTACTATATCAATGGCACAGTCACATATTTGTCTACACTTTTAACATTTTTGACTGAAACATTTTTTTATTTAAATATTTTTCATTTTATGTTGTAGTTTTCAGGAACAAGTACATTCAGGATCTCCTCAATCCAGCTGAAACGCCTTCTGTGGTGGAAGAAGAGACAGAGTGCTTTGGGCTGGATTAATTCATTACCCAGACTGAAGTCACTGAGGTTTTCAAAAAACTCCACGGGGCCAAGGCTTTGGGAATGGATGAGATCCACCCTCAGTACCTTAACCTCTCGTTGTTGTTGGTCTGTCGTAGCTTCATCATCGAGTGGAGGTTTGGGGCAGTGCCCCTGGATTGGCAGACTGGGGACCGGAGGGTGTGTTCCAAGTTAGTGGGATCAAACTTCTCAGCCTGTCTGAAAAGGTCTATACCAGGATGCTAGAAAGGAGAGTCTGGCTGATTGTTAAACCTTGGGTTCTAGGAGAAGCAGTATGGTTAAAGTCGGATTGGTTAAAAATTTCTATCAAGGAAAATCAGCTGATTGCATCAAGCCTTTGACTTGCAACACATGCTTCTCCTGGATAAGACTGAGGCAAAGATATTTGCTTGCATTTTATTGTTGACTCTGCTGTAATCCCTCACACCAAGACTGCATGCAGCGAAAGTTGAGAGGAAAACACATTTTTAACAGGAAAAAACCTCCAACAGAACCAGACGCGGTATGAGTGGCCTCACTGCAAAAAATCTGAATCTAGATAAGTCATTTTTTCTTAAAATAAGTGCATTTGTTCTTGGATTGAGGAGGT